TATATTCACTGACCAAAAAGGCCTGTAATATACACTGAAAGGCTGTGTTGCCTATAAAACCCTATCAGTATCTTAATATTGGTGGCAAAAATTATTCATGGTAATTTTGAATTAATAAGATTTCTTAGATGTGTTTGTTTTATTGAAAGTGTGTGTATATGTGCACACACGTAATACTATATAATGAACATTGCTACTGCTGCTACTGTAAATAAAGTTTTGTCATAAAGTTGTAGTCACTGCATAGACTGCTTATGTTAGATAAACTGGTTCAAGAAAATGTTACCACTAAAAAGCATTTTCAGTGTAAGGTAGACTAAATYGTCCATTTTAAAAATTATTTTTACTCTTCTGTAAACTGGTGGGGATTCAATTTCTGATGCTTAAAGTAATCTCAAAGCTTTCTGCAGAGTTATGCTGGAGGCTTTTGCTTTATTAAACACTAAACTACCTAATTGAAAGTATGATATTAAYTTCTCAATTTAATATGATGTATTTTCTTTTTCAGTATCTCCGCTGGTTTTATTCTCAAGTCAGATAGCCTAACTTTATTTTTTTTGTGAAAGCAGGCATTGATAATTTTTATGATTATCTACAACTAGTTTAAAGAGAAATAAGTGCAGAAATATTTATGGAGAAAGAGGTGTGTTAGGAGTGCCATAAATAAATAAATGTGCCCTTGAAAAGAAGAGAGGAAAGGCCCCCAAATCTCCTAGTTGTGGTGGGCTCAGAGCATCATCTTCTGACTGGTACAAAGGTCTGTCCCTTCCATTCATAGCACTTCTCCAGCGTAACGTTGCCCACATCTTCTGCTGCAGCGTTTGCAGTTTAGATGTTTTACAAGTGAAGCTGTTTCAGTTAGATGCACCAGCACATGCTTTGCTTCATACATGACAAGAAATGCTCCAGAATAATTGAATTGTATCAATAGTTAAGAATAATGGTAGTGTTGCTCATGCAAATGTGCTCACATTTTTTTATAAAAAAAAAAAAAGAGGGTGTTATGTATTTTTTTTAAAAAAGAGGGTGTTCTGTATTAGATTTTAAAGACTTTTTTAGAATTTTGTTGTATTTATGTATTATTTTTTGATGTATTTATATGTTATTTTTTCTTAAAGCATTGTGAGTTAAAGTGCAGATAGCAGAGCATCTTTTATTTTTGCTACTGTGAGGAACTACCGAGAGCTTCCTGATATTTTATTTTTTTGTCATGTTTACTGTGTGAATAAAACATGGCATCCTCAAACATGCACTATGTGTGAGGAAGCTGCAAGCTCTTCTCAATTTGTTTGAAATTGAAATAGATTTCTAAGAAKAGCTCAGTTAGGTTTCTTTCCAACGATTACTAACTAGCTCTTCAAATTCAATGTATAGTAAATCACTGAAACATTTGCTAATAYGAGGATAGAATGAATTAGTTTTTAATTGAATAAGATAACTTTTAACCAAATGCATGTGCTCATGCTCTATCTTTTGCTAGATTTRTATATTTTAAATTAGTCTTCTTAAGAGGTATTCTCCAGCAATAAAGGTGAAGAAAAAAGAAAATTGTTGGGTAGATTAGTCTTTGTTATCTTTAATTTGGGGTTTCAAGAAAAGGCACAGAATACAAGAGAAACTATAAGAACGTGAAGCATCACTACTGACTTTTCTGTATCCTTCATGGTTTTAATTTGAATGCGACTTCTTCAGTGCTGTGTTTCCCGTATACATATATAACCAAAACAACTAGGCTTCTCTGCAGTGTTTTGTAAAAAGTCAGTAACTTTGAGGCTTTAGTCTGGTTGATTCTCCCCCCCCCCCCCTTTCTTCTCCGTGTTTGGGCTATAGAGGCTCTAGAAAGGCTCTAAAGCGCCTGGTCYGCTTGGCAGGCCCCAGCTGTGGGCAGGGGCAATGCAGGCTGCTTTGGTCAGGGGATTTCTGACATGGAGAGTGTGTTGGGCAGGATAGACGTAGAGCTTTTGGGAGTGTCCATAGGGAATGGGAATGGAGATGCAGAGAAATGGGCAAAAACGCAGTAGCAACGTGGTGCAGTTGGCAGAAAGTTTGCCACACGGAGGTTAAGAGTAACTGAGGACTCCTGGTGGGTTCTTGGCTTTCTGTGAATCAGATTTGTTTCTTCTGGAGATTGTTCATTGAGTTCTAATTTTGAGCTTGTGTAGGAGGATCTAAGAACACAAAAATAAACTTAATCCAACTCTTCTAATAAACAGGAAAATGATTATGAAATGCTACAAATGAAAGGGTTAGACAGACAAACACCCATTGAGTTCAGAGGTCCTYCTGCTAGGGAAGGAGGGGCAAACCCGACCAGGCAGAACCAGGCGTTTAGGTGTTTGTGGTTTGCCTGCTGTTGGCGTAGAGCGCTGTTAAYCCTAACGTGGTTACAGGGCTGCTTTATTTTTTAATGTGTTCTTCCATTCTGATGTATATGGGTATGTACAGAGCGTGATACAGTTCAATCACCTTAGATTCAATTATAGATAATTCTTCCGGACTTTGATTCCTTAATAGTGGTCGAACAAACAGTATTCCTAAGCAAAGGTGTGTGATTTGTATGGGAAGTTATGGGGAGGAAGAAGATGGTAATTGGTGAGAACACAGGACAGAGAGGGTGAGAAAGGAATAAAAATGGCCTGTGAGCGGAGCAGGTGAGCGAGGCTTCAGTAACCACCTTTGAGAAGACGCCTGAGGAGAGAAGCCGTCAGTGCTGCTGCTGCCGTTGGTTTCTGGTACATCTTTGGACTCTGACCGCCAGTCCACGTTGTGTTTCCTGGATTGTGGCCTGCAGGACATTGGTCTGMGCATGGCCTGTTCAGAAGAGAACTGCAAATGTTTCTTGTGGAGTTTTCAGCTGGACCTCTGAGCTCGCAGCCTGGGGAACTGGATGTTGACGATGATTCACTGGTACAGAAGATTTAGGAATCACTTGTTGAAGTAACAGAAACTGGATTAAACTGTACTAATGACACCGATGACTACAGACTAGCTAGGGCTGCACCTCAGGTGGGGTCCTGCAGAGGTCTCCCTTGGCTTGGGTCCCTTAGAAGATGCCAGAGAACTTGCTCAAGATGATCAAGATTCAAAATGGTCTTGGTAGATTACTGCCTCAAGTCAAAAATCAAAGGTCATTAGACAAACGCAGACTCTGTTAGTGAGGGGAGATCATAGCTGCATATAAATACAAACCTGGAGGAGCTGAGGGCAGCAACGTTGCATATGAATATGAAACAGGGCAAAAGGGGTTAGGCAGAGGCATGGGAGAAGAGTTCATAGGGTTAACGAGCATTGAATGAAGTGTCCTTTTAAGGGAGGAAAAAGCTGGAATGCCTTGATATGAGTGTGGTTTGTAAGATAATTGGTCTGAGCAAGTTATGAGAAGAACTTARCAGACCTTGCTGAGGTCTCAGGTGGGGCACTGCCTTGTGCAGCCATCCCACTTTTAGACATGTAAGTTGGAGTGTCCAAGAGCAGGAACAGGAAGGGTCCCTGAGTTTTGGAAAGCATAATGAGCAGGAAGATTGGAGGCATTAGTATAGACAGTGTGAAAAGAAGAGACTTGTGAGGGATAAGAGTTATCTCTGAACGATTTATAAGGGCTCTTTATAAGAAGAGATTCTTCTGGGAATAACTTGGAAAAAAAAAAAAGGCTCAATTTCTAACAATGTGTTGTGGTTAGATCAGCAGCTCCTTGAGTAGAAGCCACAACTCTAAATGTGTCCCTGACAATATGAATAAAACTGCAAACCTGAGAGAATAAAGTTTTTTCCATCTCTTTTCTTGGAATTGTGAGTTGTTTTATTTTCATCTCTGTCTGAGCTTTTTATGTCTTACARTTTGAACTAATTCTCTTTCAATAATGACGTGATCCAGTATAAATAATGAAGTGATGTCACAGCAGATAATTAAAACTTTGAAGGCTGCTGTCYGTCTTGGGAGACGGAGAATGCGGTTGTGGGCATCTTGTACTGGTAAAAGGAGAGCTTCCAAGGTGCGCAGAGTTCTCCCTCTGCCTTTKCAGTGGAATGGGATGTTAGACATGGAATTTTTGAGTGGGAAGTGCAGATGGGGAGGAAGGCCAGTTAGATGCTTTGTGCATGAGTCTGCTCTGATTTTTTATGTTATGCAGACAATGTGGAAGAAACACAGGGATTTGATAGTAATTCAAGAGAGAACTTCTRTTACTTCTAGCTGCTTTGTAGGTCTCAGTGAATGTTGCTTAATTCTTAATTTTCTGTGATTCACAGTCTATGTATGCATTCACAAGTAGCTTTAATTTTAAGCTTTTCTTCTTCTCTGGGCATTGATTCGGACGGCATGATGCATCTTTTGCAAGTTTTTTGAGTTTGCAATGCWGAAGTGGATTAGGAGTGCATCTGCCTTCAGAGCAGCTTAGCCACAGGGAAACGTCCTTTTTTTTTTTTTTTTTCCCTAAAGAACTTCAGTTATGATGACTTAGTTTCTRCTCACTTCTAAATCATCTCTTTTAGAAGATGTTCAGATTGGATGTAGAAATGAAAGCCAACAACTTTGTTGTAATGATAAAATAACCARACTTATATCTCTACTGTGCAATTTCTTTTCTTCTAATATGTATGCTAGAGTTCATATTTACTCTAACATTTCTGGATTTATGTATATTTCAAACCCAGTGTTTGCGCTGTAGCCATCAGAATACTGCTCTGTATTCTAAACGTCATCTGCCCTTAATGTGTAATTGTAAGTAATGAAAGGAAGAAAAAGAAACAAAACAACTTCATTTTAAAGTTTCCCATGTTAATGAAACATAATATTCATATGTTAAACAATTCAGTACTGGTTGAATGCTGGAATTTGGTCTGAGATAGATACTTGACTCGCTTTTTCAGCTGAGGCATTTAGTGTAGCATTTTACACTGGTAAATGCTTGGTAATGTTTTAGAGATGAAAATAAGCCATGTTGGATTTTAAGTTAATTTTTGTTTACTTTTATTTTATAGCAGTATATTTTTTTTTTCTAGTTTAACTTTGTTGGAAGAATCCTTGGACCCAGAGGACTAACAGCTAARCAGCTGGAGGCAGAAACAGGATGCAAGATAATGGTCCGAGGGAAGGGCTCAATGAGGGACAAGAAGAAGGTAAGTGCTCCAAAGGTTTCACGTGGCTGCTTGCCTTGCCTCATGCAAAGGAAAAGGCCGTGTCCCCGCCAGCCCCCGAAGTACTCTTGTCAATAGGTGCTGCTTTACTATTAGTATTTACAGGCCGAGTGGCCAACGCTTTTCTTAAACAGCCTTTCTTAAAGAAAGGAAATTTTCACTCCCTATAATGGCACGATTGGGAGTCTAACAAGCAGTTACAAAGTATTTTGTAATAAAATAACTTCTGATTATGTGAAATGTTTCACAACTGAAGGTGAAACTTACAGGTGTTCTTAAGAGGTGTCTTCTGCTGAACTACCAGAATAAGGGCTTTTTGCAAGTCATGCMGTTTGTTGCATTTGTAGCAACGAATTTTCTCTGTATGGAGTGAACAAACAAGCCACACGTTCGTGCATTTCCTTGGAGTTACTGGAGAGCTGGAGTGTARTTAAGACTGTTCCTTGCTCTCTGCTGTAATACACGTGCTTTGTCCATATAAATAGGGGAAGTTTTGCTTTCAGGATAAGCCTGCCCGAACATCCAGTTGGCATGATGGTATCTTCTGGAAGTCATTGCTGTTTGGGTTTTGTGTTTTGGTTTTTTTTTGTGTGTGTGTGTGTGTCATTTTCTAGACTGTTTTTTTTTCCCTTTGGTTACTGCTTGCTGAACTTGTACCTGAATCTCCACTTCCATTTGAGATGTGTGACCATAATTATTTCTTCTTTTGGTTCTTTCTTTAGACCCTCCTTTTTTTTTTTTTTCCCCTTACCTGATCTGCTGCATAGTATATTCTGCTGGTAGATGTGTAGCACATAGCAATTAAAATAGGAAGCCAATGCCTCCTTGGTTAAAAAAAGAAAAAAAAAGACTTCTCTAATGAATGAAAGAAATGAAAGAAAGTTCTCTATTGAATGACTGTTTCAAACTTCGTGTAATGTCATATCCCCTTTTGTTACCTATAGCTGTTTTGGTTGTTTAGATTGCTAACCTGCATAAAGATCTGTTCTAAATGGTGACAAGTTTATGGTCTGGATTCTGTAGAAGTAGCAGGCTGATGTTGTCCTAAATGAGGCTTGTTTTATGAAGAGTTAGAATTTCTTTTTTAAATCATTCTAATTTACATTCCGAATTCCTTCTACCTCTTCGTYTGCATGAACATTTAACATGTAAACGAGTCTTGTTTTTTATGGAGTTTTAAACTGTAAATTGGCAAGGAGAACTTTTGATATTTTTATAAAGGATTTTGAAATACAAGTTTTCTATAATTGAGGGCGGAATGAGACACTGAAAGTATAGAGTATTAAAATTCCAGCATGCTTTAGTTGTCATATCAAATTGTGTGGGGTGTTGATGCTGTATGTTTGAAGCCAAGCGTATGGTTGCCAATATGTGAACAGTCTCAGTTCCATGATTTTGCTTATGACTTTTAATAGTATTCTTTTTTCTTGTATATATTCTGCTATATTGTGGAAAAGAGGCTGTTTTGGGGCAGAAGATTTRGTGGAGATGCTGCCTTCTTTATCATTTGGAAGATTCCAAATTTACKATAGAAAGGATGAACTATCAAACTGCTAATCTGAAATGAGAAGTGTTAAATCCCCTAAAAAGGATAATAGTTTCAGTTCTTTCCTACCTAGCTATAGCTTTTAAAGTACAAATAGCATTTTTATGTCTAGCACCGTTCTTCAGTTCTACCCATAGGTGAATGTCTGCTTATCAACACAGTCTCTTTCTTTTAGGAATTAAAATTCTGGGTCTGGGGTAGTTCATCAGGTTGCGTAAGTTTTTATTCTGTTTTGGTTCATTTGGTTCATGGGTGTTATGAGCTAAAACATTCAGACATCAATTCTTCAGCAAGTTTGTAAGTTAGGCTCCAAACTTAATGGTCTAGAAATAATGCCTTGCTATTAGTAGTAAACATATGTATATTTAAGAAAGACATTAACAGCCTTGCACTGATACATCCTTAAAAGTTTTGCAAATTGGCTTTGCTATGTGGAAAAACCTCTAATGTGTGCAGTTGTGTTAGCACTAGCCGTGCTCGCAGGCAGTTACAGTTGTGGGAACGAGAGAAGTTGCCTCSATTTGCTTGTGGAGGGGCCTGTTCCCCCATCCATGGGCCCTTCACAGCTCCTGGCTGAAAAGCACCCAGAAGAGGAGGTTGCTTCTGGAAAAGGCTGCATGTGCTTCCTGGGATCTCGGCTTGCAGCCCCATGTCCCAGCCAGGCCCTCCTCCTTTTCCCCTTCCTTCCCTCCCTTTCACATTAGCCTGAACAGAAACCAGTGGGACCCAATGAATTTAGAGGGACTGTGGGAGCCCTCGTTCTTTGGATACCTTTCCGTTTAGTAGGTCCCACTGAGGATACCTCCAAATAATTAAGCCTGCAGGTGCCCTGTGTGGGTGCTATCTGTAGGAGGCACCTACGTTCCTGCAGCCTGCGTGTGCACTTCCCGTCCTGGGTTCACCTGAGAACATTCTCCATGGTTGGTGGTCATCTGCTTCTGTTAGGACTCCATCCATGTTCACCTCCTTCTCAGACTTTGTAAAAAAAGTTTTRCTGTTCTTCAAAGTTCACCCTTTCCTGTGGGGAGTCGTAGTTGGCACGGACAGGTTTTCTGTATGGAAAAATACATTTTTACTCCCATGTGAAAATGGGCTTTTGTCACTACCTCTTCTAAAAGTAAAAAAAAAAAGAAAAACTGTCTGCAACAAAGTATGGTTCTGAATGGCTCAGATAGAAGGTAATGTCTGCCCCGTACACTGACTAGACCAGTTAGCGGTGAGTCTTCTCTTAGCACAGTCTGTGTTTAGACGTTTTAGATTGGGTGGATGAGTAAGAAGATGTAAGGATGTCTTAAAGYTCTTGTTCCAGTATAGGACACGCAAAAAAGCAGAAGTCTGTTCCCTCTGAGACATCCATTGTCTCATATTTTTGGAGCACAGAGCACTTGACAGTTGATAATTTCATGAGATAATACTACCATTAGTTTGGAACATGTACCAAACTAATTAGCTGGATAGAAGCTATTTTCATGCCGTACGTTTCTAGTCTTTGGTTTGCCCTTTCACTGCTCTGAGGTGATTGGTATTATGCGCTGGCCTGGCGTATTCAGCCGGTGGGCTTTGTGGTGCAGGGTGTGCTCTGGAGCCTTGCGTGAGCTGCCGTTGCTGCTGCGGGTACCCACGTGCCCGAAGCCGGGATTGCCGGGCGCTTTACCGTGCGCCTTGTACTGCAGCTCAAGCGGATCTTTTAGACGTTCTTTTCTAGAAATAAGAACAATTGGGAACCTGATTCTAGACACATTCACAAGCAGAATAAATTGCCAAGCGGTGGCATTTATCAGTTGCAGAAGTGAGTACACTTCTTGCTGTTGGCCTGTGCCCCTTATGCTTATGAGTTAACGCTTACAGATGAGCTCCTCGGGACAAGACAAACAGCTCCCTTCAGCTGTCAGAAGCAGAGTGTGCGCTCACGGAGAGCTGGRTTTTGTCCTGTTTTGGAAAGCCCTGCCGTCTCATCTCATTGTCTACGTAAAGAGGAGACTTGCAGGGTTTTTCCCGTTTCCTTGAATTGCTTTGAAATTTGGGGGAGACGGTAGGTAAAAGTTCATTTGTATGTGTTTTTCCTAAGTGTGTTTGATATCTGCAAACTGACTGCCCAGTGCTCGTTACAAAAGAAGAAGCTTTACTGGAAGTAAGCGAACCAGCTGCTTCAGCAGAATAGTTGCAGTGTGGTTGTGCTTTCAGTTAGCAAACCAGCTGTCAGTCACTAATGTGCCAGTTCCATGGCACCAAGTACTGGTGTTGTTAATTATCCATCTACTTCTCCCTTCCTTCCTTCCTTGATAGTAGTAGTAGCAGAATGCAAGAGAAAATACAAGTGAGAACAAATTCAGGAAAATAAACCATCTACATTTACTGTGCAAAAAAATTACCTTACTCTGCCTGCCTGTGAGCAGAAATAATGAAATAGAATTAGAACCAAATCTCACGTGGTCGAGTCACTTGAACTTCAATCTAATAAAGATACCTGTCATAGCTAGAGTGGAAGATGACRACTTTCACACCAAAAGATACCGTTTTATAAAAGGAGAGTCTGCCCCTGTGATGGATAAACAAAAATGTTAGATTTGTATCTTTGATCTTATGCAACTACTTCCAAGCATTGGCGTGCTCATAGGAAACAAACTCGATTGCTTTAACATGATCTCTCTTGATAGGTTATGGGGTGCCAACTCTTTCAAGCAAGAATGTTTTGCTGTCTTGTATTTCCACCTCGATATATTAGATGACTTTCTGGTCACTTTTTTTCCACTCACTTAGAAGTTACGTAAGTGACCCGGACTTGAAATTAGATTCAAGTTATATGAGCGAGTATTTCTTAAAATAGCAGCCCAAATAAGGGTGGTGACTCATCTGCTTATTTTTTAAGGTTCTGCCCGACTAGAGTGTTCAAGTTTTACATGTGAATGCTTGAAAGTTGTTTTTGTCTGGTAATTGGCTGCATTCAATGCAGTTCTGTCTTTTTGAAACTTAATATGCTTTTGCAAAAGACAGAAGTTCCCTCTTTAGTGAAATATAAAGTTTTGCTAGTGAAAGGTCTTAAGTTGCTCGAGTGCTGGAGAGGAAGAAAGAGTAGGAAAACAGAAGTGTTCTTCAATCAGGTTGTGTACAACTTTTACATGTTATATAGATAATCTACATTATATATATGTAGATTTGTAACATTTTACTACTTTTTGGTCTCTGATATACTACCTGACACACTCTGTCCAATAAAATGTCTTAATATACTTGTGATTTAATTTATAAAGTGAAGCAACTGTCATTAAATGACAGCTCATCATGCTTACAGAGTGTTGTTAAGGCCTATTAACAGCAGCTCTAATTACAGAAGTGCTCAACATTGATATTCTGAGAAAAATACATACGGGCAAATAACAAAACTATGATGCTGGCACATATATTGGAATTGTAAAGTGGTTTTGTATTTCAGAAT